AATCGACCGTAGCCGACACGAATAAATATTCCCAGTATGAAAAGATAACTGAAAAAAAATAAAAATCATCATCTCATACATCCAATAACACAAGATCAAAAACTATCCGGCCGCCTCAGGTTGGATACCACAAAACAATCAAAACAACTGCCAAAGAAACGTTGGCTAATTGAAAATAACATTGATGTTGCCAACATGGTAGTTGGACAACCTCAGTTTTGACTTATTACGCGTTGCCAAAGTCATTCATCCCATCCTATCGCCGATCTAAGATTTGACGCGCATACCTATCTTCGTACATTTCCAATCTTTTTGGATGACAAACCGCTTGCGCATGATTCTTGATCAGGGGCATTGCTTGACGTGAAGCATGCCTCTTCCTCTAGGAAGTGGTCTGGGGTACTCCTCCTCCTCGTCCGAGCACAAGACTCGGATCTCAGAAGTCGGGCCGTCTCCACCGAATCGGCAAGTACCCCCCTATAGAACGGTCCACTCTGGGTCGATAACAGGGTCGGCTCCTGAAGCAACGAACCCCCGCCCCAGATGCTTCCTAAAGATATTGGATGCGTCCACCGCAAGTAGCTTTCATATATATGGTCAAATAGAACTGCCCGGTAAACCGTAGGCAGAGAGGGAGAAGAGGACAACAAACGAGGGGCTGTGACAAACTGTTTCGTCGGAGTTTCACCGACTCANGTAGGCAGAGAGGGAGAAGAGGACAACAAACGAGGGGCTGTGACAAACTGTTTCGTCGGAGTTTCACCGACTCATCAGGAGGCTGAACCCTCAACAGTCTGTACAATCCCCTCACTGATTACACTGTAAGTGATAAATATATGTATATATATATATATATATTTTCTTCTAAGTCCCGCGGTAACTTAGACGAAAAGAAATCACAAGAGAGAAAGAAAATGAGAATCATTTAGACAGGTACAAGTAGATAAGGTCGTTCGGGATAGAATGAGTCAATCCTTGGAAAAAAGCTAAATCCGTTTGACCTTATCTGCTTTATTTCAATAGAATCCATTCTATGACACACGTTGAATAACATTTTTCCAAAACAACAAGTTTTTTTTGACAAGCAGGCAGGTGAAAGGTAGAAAGAAGACGATTCATTCCTTCATCGCAAATAGGCATAATCAATCTCCTTTGTAAGCATCCCTCTACCTACCTGCACAGACGGCAAAGGAAACACATTCGAAGGAAAAGAATACAATCCCATACTCGAGTCAGACTTTTCCATTCACATGCATGACTTGCACAACTTTCCTCTACCTTTTCTTTTGAATATTCAAAACGAACAGGGTCAAGCAAAGTGCGGGTCCACACAGGCGCGAAAGGAAGTCTGAGTCATTCAACTAACCTTGAGTGAAGTTGAACGGTACACTCAAGAAGATCGTATAAAATTACGCTCCTTTTGATGCGCCGGTGGTCCTCCCCAGTCGTCAGCAAAGTGATCCAAACCACTCTCTTGCTACAATCACCTACCACAACACCCCCTTACTTATTTTTCAGTAAGTATCGTCGCCACTAGCTTCCACTGTCACCACGTCATTGCGCTGTAAAGTCCACGCCGCCTCAAGATACCCACTCTAGTGGCACCTTCCCTGCGCCAAGGCCCATCTGCCGCTCAATGTAAAATTATTGCCATCACCGCCGTAAACCCCGTGCCGACGTTGTGAAAATTTTCAACAGCGCTTCCGCAATGCCGCTGTAAAGCCTGGTGCCGTCGTCGTAAAATTTTTGCAGCGCTTCCGCACCACCGCCGTTAAGCTTGTGTCGCCGCCGCAAAAGTTCGGCAGCACCACCGTACAACCGTCGTAAAAAGCCTGCGTCGCCGCCGCAAAAGTTCGGCAGCACTTCCGTACCACCGCCGTAAAAGCCTGCGTCGCCGCCGCAAAAGTTCGGCAGCACTTTCATACCACCGCCGTAAAAGTCTGCGTTGCCGCCGCAAAAGTTCGGCAGCACCTCCGTACCACCGCCGTAAAAACCTGTGTCGCCGCCGCAAAAGTTCGGCAGCACCTCCGTACCACCGCCGTAAAAACCTAGTACTGCTGCCGCAAAATTTTGGCAGCACTTCCTCACCGTAGTGAGAAAATGGCAGGCCAAAACTAGTAAAATTTGGGGCCCAGGCCCAAATTTCATTGTGCCGCATTGTCGTAGTTCCGCAGCTTCACTGGGTCTGTCCCGTGGGACCAGCACCAGCCAGAGGGGAGGGAAGCAGAGTGCTCCCTGCCTCGGCTATGGCTGCCCAGCTCCTCTCCTTGCGCTCCTCTGCAGTCCTCCAGCCTCCTCCTTGAAGTCTCCAGGCAGCGCCTCAGCTCCTCAACAACACTCAAGTGTGCTCGTCACACAATTGACAGCATGAGTGCTTCTGTGTGGCAGTTGGGGACAGCTGCCTGTTTTATAGTGGCTGAAGAGGGCTGGACGTCATTCCAGCCCCCAGGCAAAATCGCGGGCTCACAATGAGCCCTTGATCAGGCCAAGATCCAGGGCTAACTGTGGCCGCACCACAGCCAAAGCCTTAGTGTGGGGCAGTTTCTTTAACTGCCCTATTTTATTTTTTCTTTTCTTTTTCCCAGCTATCTCGGAATCTCACGAGATAGCTGGGCTCCTGCCATTTCTAAATCTGTTTTTCTTGTCGGGCTAACTGTGGCCGCATCACAGCCACAGCCTTAGTGTGGGGCAGTTTCTTTAACTGCCCTATTTTATTTTTTCTTTTATTTTTTCCAGCTATCTCGGAATACCACGAGATAGCTGGGCTCCTGCCATTTCTAAATTTGTTTTTCTTTTATTTTTCTGATAAGGGGTTGGAGAGATACAACCCCTTTCAGTTTGATGTATCTGGACTCTTTTCCCAGGGCAGATACATCGGGGAAAAGGCTGTACTTAGCCTTTTCCTTTAACCCTTAAATTTCAGGCTCCCTTAAAAAACGGGAGCCTGACACTTACCTCTGGCAGAAGCTGGCAGAGGTAGCACCACGTGAGGACAAGTGTCCTCACACAAAATAAAGAAAAGAAAAAGAAAAAAGAATAAAGAAAGAAAAAAATAAATAAAGAAAACCTTTAACCCCCTCAACTGCAATGCTCCTGATTTGAGCCAGGAGCATGCAGTTGTTTGTCAGCTGCCTATCCCTTTCCTCTGCTGCCCTCCCCTGAAAACGGGGAGTACAGTTGTCAGGTTGGGAGGAGTAGGGAAAGAACTCGTGAAAATTTACGAGTTCAAATCCCGACAAGCTCAGAACGGGGTGCAAAAAGTACCCCGACTTTGATGAATTAAAACAAAATATTCGATAAATAAAAAAATCTAAAAACATTCATGCACATGGCCTAGGTGCCTGACTACCTACAGAAAAAAAATCAAGGCCAACAAAATTGTTTTACGCCACCAAAAAAATAGTAGCGCAAACCGAGAAATACAACTTTTCATAAAAACTCAGATCCCGTTTTTCGTTTTCTTTTTCTTTTTTTTTTCTTCTTTTTTTTTCTTTTTTTTTTCTTCTTACCCCCTGACAACGGGGAGGCAGCTGGCAGGTCGGGAGGAGCAGGTTGTCCTCTCCCCATCCTCCCATTTCTCTCTCTCTCTCTCCACTCAATTCCTCCAACCGCCTCTTGCTTTCCGTGTGTGAACTGTGGGCCGCGAGATCTCAAGATCTCGCGGCCACAGTCATCTGTTCAAAACGAAGTGGGAGCCTTTGTGCTCCCACACAGTCTGCAAAGCCTATTTTTTTTTTTTTTTTTTTTTTTTTTCCCGTTATTCCATGGCTTTGCCAACAGTCACGCCCCATTGTGGCTTGCTATGGCACATCGGGATACAGAGCCGGGTTCAAATCCCTACCGGGATTTTGGACCATTTCTTGATTTATGGGCGTCATCCTTGCGCAGGGGCCATGCCCATCTACGACGCGACTGATTTCAGCCGCGCGATCTCGAAGATCGCACGACTGAAACAGACCGCGCCCAACTACCCCAGCATAGTGGGCTGCTCCAAAAGGAGCTAGCCCGGTAGCGCAGTATGTCGGATTCCACCCCAGTACCTGCTGGGTAGTAGTCTGGCACTGTAACCTACTAGGCTAGCTCCTATCACGATAGTGATAGGAGCAGCTCTTCTATATGAAGAGTTCAGCCCTGTCCCTATCCCCTTGCCATGGCCTTGGAGGCCCTGCCTGCCTATGGCTCTGCAGGCCCACCCTGCCTGCAGGCCCCGCCTGTTTGTGGTCTAGCAGGCCTTGCCGGCTGGTGGCCTAGCAAGCTCTGCCTGCCTGCTACTTCCCCATGGATGGCTGCCCATCCACAGCTCCGGGGCCACCCATCGGGTAGGCCTCGGCATAGGCCTCCTGGTCCTACTCCGGCTCGAGGTCAACCCGGCAGGCCCAGGAAAAAAAAACCTTGCTATTCCTCTCGCACTGTAGTCCCATACCCGACGCATCCCTCTTTTCCGCCTACTTAGGTTCTGAATCGCGCGGTTGTTAGGTAGAATAGATTTAGTTTTACCATTCCCATGTCCGCACATTCCTGCGGATTCGACAAAAGCAAAGCATTACCATTCACATCCGTTACTCCTGGACGCCACACGCGTTCCGACTAACGTTCAAAAACTTTTAGTTTGTCGGTCATATGTCAGGTCTGAATAAACTTTGGCACCGTCAGTCTCATCAAGTTCTTTAATTCAACGAAAGCGCCGGACAGTGTCTGACATTGAAAATCCCCGGCAAATACCCTTGTAAGGGTATTTGCCCCGACATCAGGTCGAGTGGAGGCGGACTGGCGGGTGAATCATGCGGCGTTGGGGCAGTTGGTTTGTTGGTGCCCCAATTGGCGACAACGGAAGCAACCCCCTTTTGCTTGGAGGTAGATGCACTCCTCGGGGGTGAGTTTCTTGAGGCGGGAGGGTAGGGTGGATGAGGGTGGTCGGGAGCTGCGATCTCCACGCTCCATTCTCATGAATTGGACGACATCGAGTTCCTCGGAAGTGAGGGATGAAGAGTCGAGTGAATCGGAAGATGCATCGGGGTTAGGTGTGGTGAACTCGCCCGAGGAAGTGATGGAGGTGGTGTCTTCGAGGGTGATGTGGTGGAAAAAGCGGGTGCAGGAGGTGCCATGCGGGGGCTGGTGGGGAGGGTGGAGGAGTCGATCGTGGTGAAGCATGCGAGAGAGGAGGTCATCAAGGGGCATGTCGGGTTTGTGGGCGAGGGCGGTTGCAAGGTCTTTGTGGCATACTCGTTTGATGCGGGAGATGAACGCAAAGTCGGGAATGACGGTGTGAGGGAGGTGGTGGAGGAGGGAGCGGACGTATTGGACGAAGCGGTCCGTGGGACGTGTCTGGCGGAGGTGGAAAAATTGTTCAAGGTAGTCGTCAATGGTTTTCTGGGGGCGGAAGGTGGCAGTGAGAAGGTTGGCCCATTGGAGGAAGGTGTGACGTGGTCCTCCGGAGGCTCGGCGGTTGCTAACTTCAGCCATCCACCATAGGAGGCGGGAGGTGGCAATGGGGAGCCAGTGGGCAGGGGGCATGTGGTGGAGGTGAAAAGAGTTATGAAGTTGGGTTAGGAAGAGGAAAACGTCCTCGTGGGGGAGGTCGGAGAAGGACATGATTTCGCCAGATCGGAAGGAACGGGGGATTTCCCCGTCGCGGTGAACGATCTGCGCAAGGGTGTTGAAGCTGAGGTTATCGGGGGTGGTGTCGTAGCAGTTGTGGTCGGATTTGGTTGTTGTCCTCAAGGAGGTAGTTGCGGGGCAGTTGTGGCATTGCGGGGTAAACCCCGCACGTGACTTGGGAATAGGTGGGACGGACGGTGGGGATGGTGGAGGTGGTCATGATGGGTTCGGAGAGGGTTTGGGAGTGCGGGGGGGGAAGGGGGGTGACGTGGATGGGCGAGGAATGAGGCGGTGTGCTGGATGCGCCGGATGAGGGAGGAGGTGGAGGGAACGGAACGGTGGTGGAGGTTGAAGGGTTGGTGGATGTGGTGGTAGAGGTGGGGTAGGAGTGGAGGAGGTCGGCGGGGGGGTATTGCGGGAGGCGGCTGTGGAGGAGAGAGTGGTTTGCACTGTGGAAGATGGAGTGGTTTGCGCTGTGGAGGAGGGAGCAGTTTGCGCTGTGGAGGAAGGAGTGGTTTGCCCGGTGGTGACGCCCGTGATGGAGGGGATGGTCCCTTCGATCGTGGTGACGTGGTCGCATATGGACGACATGTTGGCCTTTATGTCGTCGAGAGAGGCGGTGACGGAGGTTCGAAGGGTGTTGAGTGCGTGGAGGATGGCGGAGAGGTCAGGGGTGGCGGTGTTTGTTGGTGGTTTTTCGCCTGCGAGGTTGCGGGCGATGCTATCGACTGAGTCAGTGCGGATGTCAGACATGTTGATGGAGGATGCGGCCATGTCGGGGGAAGAGGGGGTGGAGGACGTGGCCTGAACGGGTGTGGAGGATGCAGCAGCAGCGGCGGCGTTTGCGGCGGCACGTTGGGAGTTTTTGGTTTGGCGTGGTGGCATGTGGAGGTGGGGGGGGCAATCCCTTATTTATTTATCAATAAATTCAAAAATAAAGATAATGGCCAATTTTTTTTTTTTTTTTTTTTTTTTGGAAAGTATGGAATTAATATTTAATAAATAAATTTATTCCGATTGGAATTTTATTTATTCAAAATTAATTTGGGTAGAACCAGGGTCACCAACCCGTACGTACGGAGGTCCCCAGGCAGACCTCCATACGTATGGGCAATCGGGGTCCCGTACGGGGTCCGAACCCAACGGCGTTCGGCCCCCGCCAAAAATTATTTCGGGGCCCAACAAAAATAATGTTTTTCTGAATTTTGTTTTGTGAGTTCTCTATGACGTGAGGTACATGCCTGCAAAGTTTCAAGTCATTTGGCTAAGCCCAATAAGAATTAAAAATCGCCAAAGATGGTGGTGTCAAAACGTGCACGCCCACGTATTTTTTCACTTTTTACTTTTTGTTTTCACTTTAACTCAGGGTCCAAACAATTTTATTATTTTCTGAAACTTTTTTAGTGGGTTTTTTATTATTTGAAGTACACATCTATTAATTTTCAGGGCATTTAGCTATGCCAAAAAAAAATGAAAAATCGCCAAAGATGGGCTCACGCACTCACTAAATTTAATTGTCTTCTTATTTTTATTTATTTCTATTATTAGTATTTGTTTTCCGTATTTTATTTTTATTTCAAATTTGGTAAGGAATTCGGATGTAATGCTCAGGCAAATCTTGTTTAATTTATTTTTCTCCATAACATATCTTTTTTTTCAGATTTTTTTGATAACTTTGTTTGTTTTTTGTTTTTGTTTTTTTTGGGTCTGCGTTCGGCCCGAACGGCTGAACGCATCCCCAAGGGGTCCCATACGTTCGGGGGTTCGGGTTCGGGCATTCATCCCTTCCCGAACGCCGGTTACCCTGGGTAGAACAAAATTTTGAAGGATCCGAAGGAGAGATTTACAAAATTCGTTGTTCAAAATATTGGTAAAATAATAATAATAATAATAATAATAATAATAATAATAATAATAATAATAATAATAATAATAAATAAAAAATAAAAAATTGAATTTATTTCAAATTTTATTTACATGAAATTTCGGAATATCTTTGAATTATAGAAAAAGAATCAGGAGGTGGAATTTTAAAATTTTGGAAAAATAATAATTAATTTCGAAGGTAGGGATTAATTCCGAACGTGAATTTACAGAAATGTCAGCAGAGAAAAGAAATTTTGATACAATTTCGTAAAAATAAGTAATTAATTTCGAAGTTCAAAATATGAATTCAAAATTTCGAAAAAGGGCTAATTATGAGTTGCAAAAGGATTCCAAGGAATTTGGAAAGAAATTAAGGTTATTCTAAAAAGAGATGAATTAATGCTAAAGTATTCAAGAAATTCCGAAAAAGAAAAACAAATTTTGAAGAAAAAGAATTTACTTAATCACAATATATTTCAAAGAAATTTTGAAAAGAAGTAACGAGTTCAAAGGTATTTTTAAATTCAAAATTTTGAGAAAGAACAAAATTTCAAACGGAAGAGATTTTCAAAGAAATTTGTGAAAAGGGTGATTTAATTCTAAAGTATTTCGAAAAGATTTTGTGGAACTAACGAATTATTTGGGACGTAATTTCAAAAATAGTACAAA